AGGCTGAAATCCCCGGTCTGGTTTTGCTCCCCCTGCCTCTCTGGTGGAAGGAGCCACCTCAGCACAGAAAGAAACCCCAGAAGACTTTCCCGGCAGGTCTCACCTCCTGACGTTGCTTTTTAAAAGCGATCCTTGGGGTGTTTACGGCTCCTGGGCGAGCCGGAGGCTGGCGGTGCTCGGTGCTGGCCATGTGCGCCGATGGGCTCCTGCATGGGACGGGGTGTTGGTGGCTTGAGGCTCTCGCAGGGGGACTCTGTAGGTGCACACTTGCAGGGTCGGCGTCGGTGTGAGATGTCCTGGCGCAGGGGCAGGAGCTGCAGCCTGCCTTTTGCTAGGAGGGGTTCAGCAAAGCCAGGCAAATCGCTTCCTCTGTGCCCGCTCCGCAGGGATGTGCCGGTGCAGGAGGTGGGGATGGCGTGGTCGGGGGGCTTGCGCCACGCACACGGGGTTTGCCGGCTGGCTTTACGTGCAGATGGCTGGTCTCAAATTATGATCTTTATCTAAAACTGTTCTAAAAAGGGCTGAGGGAGGGAAGGGAATTAATCTTCATACCAAAACAGCTTAAAATCAAACCAAAATCTGTAAAGCCCTGCAGTTTAAGCCCTTTCAAGAGCAAAAAATAACAGAGAGGCAGCAAAGCCCCGCCAGCTTGGCTGGGCTGTACCAAACGGTGCCAGGTTTGGCGTGTTCGGCGCCCGGGGCTCTCTGACCTTGCAGAGGTTTCATTTCCAGCCCCGTCACGGCTGAGGAGAGGAGCGAGCATGAGCAGGGAGAGCCCTTTGCACCTTCTCAGAGGGAGGAGACATCTCTCCCGAGGTGGCGAAAGTGCGAGCGGGGAGGAGCGGGAGCTGGTATAAATAATCCTCCCCATTCCTGTGTTGGCTGGGTGGCACGGCTGCAGCTTATCTCCTGGCCAGAGGCCACTCATCACCTCCCAGCCGCTGCCAAGCTTGAAAGGGCTCCGGAGGGTGGTTTGTTCCTCTCCCTCCCCAGGCCGCGGTGGGAGGGGAGATAAGAGAGAGGCATTTAGCAGCTCCAGGGCTCCGTCCGTGCTCGGTGCTCGCTCAGCCCGCACGGCAAAGCAGATGTGAACAGCTCGGCAGCCCCGCTGCCCGGCTCTGGCCAGCTTGCAGGCTTGTCCCCTGGGGTTTCAGGCCTAAAGGGTGGGAGAACTAGAGGTTTGGGTGCGAGTGGAGCGCTCAAAGCGAGGAGAGGAAAGGGATCGTGCATGGGGGGATGAGGACGGTTGAGCTGTAGCCCATGTGTTTGGCTTCCATCCCCCAGAAAGGTCCCTCAGCGTGTCGGGACAGGTTATTGCCCTCTGTAATAACACCCCTCAGTGCTTTTGAAAGCTCCCTGGAGTGTTTATTTAACATAGACATTCCCCAGGCTTTTAACCTGCACCTTTTCCAGGTTAAAACGTGGTCCTGTGTCAGAATTTCTTGATGTTCGGCCGCGGCCCGGGGTTGCAGAGGCTCAGGTGCTGGTAGTACTGCAGCGGGGCTGTGGTTGCATCTCCCCCTCTTCCATTGCATCCCTCAGCCATACAGCGTGGGATCCCCCGGAGACCCCACTCCCACGCACTGGGAACATGGGCCCTTCCCCACCACCTGTAACCAAGCTCCTTCCTCTCCCCATCCCCAGCAACAGCAGTGCCGAATCTTTAGACCGGCTGTACCCTGCGGTGGGCTCCACCAAGCCACCCCGAAAGCGGACCACTAGCCAGTGCAAGTCTGAGCCACCCCTGCTGCGGACCAGCAAGAGGACCATCTACACAGCTGGCCGGCCACCATGGTACAATGAGCATGGGACGCAGTCCAAAGAGGCCTTCGTGATAGGTAGGCAGAGGCAGCGCGTGTCCAGACTCTGTCCCACCTCTGCACTTCAGCCGCTGCAGGCTAGCACGGGCAGCATCAGTGCTGCCTGCCTGGTGGCTCTCCAGGAGATCTTGGGAGGATTCCTGCCCCACAACCTCCTTGGAAACTTGAGGTTGGCTCCAGACTCCAGGCTGTGAGCTGCTCAGCCCAGGCAGGAGCAGTGAGAGTCCCCGTGGTTAGTCCAGCGTTGACTGGGTGAGCCGTAGGATTGGGCAGAAGCTGAGAGCTTGCAGATGGGGGTGATGGATTACAGCAGGCACTGGGCAGACCACAGTCTTTGCTCGTTGTTCCCTCAACTCTTGTTGCCTGGGTTGTCACGAGTTCCCAGGGATTTGTTCTAGGCTGGTTCTCGTGCCAGCTCTCCCCTTGTTACACAACCATCTAACGAAGGGTTTCCCAGCTTTTGCTGTGCACATCGCTGGCAGTTATAGTACAAGCCATTTGACATTTTCAAGGGTAATCTCCCTCTTGTAGTGCCTGTCGATCTCCCTCTTTGGAGGTTCCTCCAACTGAGTGCAACAGGGGTTGCGCTAAGGGGCTTGGGCCCAGCCTAGGGCCTGGGCTCTAGCCTGTGGTTGGAAAGGCAGACTGTGGGGTTGGTGGCTTCATCCCCTTTTCCCTGGCAGGCCTGGGAGGAGGCAGCGCCTCTGGGAAGACCACGGTGGCCACCATGATCATTGAGGCTCTTGACGTCCCTTGGGTGGTTCTGCTGTCCATGGACTCCTTCTACAAGGTGAGGCTGCGCGTCGTCCTGGCCAGGCTCCTTGGGCTGCCGTGGCCCTTGGCATAGCCCCCTGATGGGGAAACGCAATGTGGATTTAGTGACAGCCTCATGGTTTCCCCTTCGGATGGTTCTTGGGGCAGGGGGAAAGGTTGCTGGGCACGGCGGTGGGGAAGGAAGGCTGCCGGTGGGGATGGCCCCATGGACTAACCCCTTCTTTGTGGGCAGGTGTTGACCAAGCAGCAGCAGGAGCAGGCAGCCAGCAATGACTTCAACTTTGACCATCCCGATGCCTTCGACTTTGACCTCATCATCGCCACCCTGAAGAAGCTGAAGCAAGGCAAGAGCGTGAAGATCCCCATCTATGACTTCACCACCCACAGCCGGAAGAAGGAATGGGTACGGAACACTGTGGGACAAGGTGGGGGGGACCGCCAAGGCAGGAGAGGGGGGTGCCGATTGGACCCCTCCAGCCCCTGCCTTTTGCAGTCAGACTCACGCAGTCGTCCTCTGCTCTGTGGCTGGCTCGGGGCGCATTTTTCGGGTGAGCTGTCGCAGTCACTAACAACTGAGAGAGATTCCCCGGGATGGGGCATCTCTGAACACGTTCTGTGTCTAACCACATCCATTTTGACTCCACAGAAAACCCTGTATGGCGCCAACGTGATTATCTTTGAAGGCATCATGGCATTCGCGGACAAGGAACTCCTGAAGGTGAGGAAGGGTTTAGAATTGGTTCTGGGGAAGCCTGGGAGGCGCAAGTGCTTGCAGCCCCCTCTTCTGCAGCACAAAGAGAGTCCCAGGTGCCCTGGGGCTCCTGTGCACCGCTGGATGGGACCCTGTCCTCCCACCTTCAGCATGACCTCTACAAACCAGCCCTCCACCCCACAGCCAGCTGGGGGGAGATGGTGGGAGCATGCTTTCTCCTGAGGTTCAGCAGCAGGGAGATGACCTTCTCTTCCAGGTTACACCGGCTGCTGCGGCACTTTACTGTGCAGGAGAAATAGGCCTCGAGTCTTGCAGCGGCAGGGGAAGAGCCCCTGGCAGAGGTCAAGCAGAGACCTTGATCTCATCCATTCGTTCCCAGGAACCGGGAGCTGAGTGGTGACTTGGTCCCTGGCAGCGGTGGTGCATAAACAGGACTAGAAATAGCCCACTTTCATGCTGCATGCCTCAGCTTGCACAGCCAGCAGCAAAGTCTGCTGTACTTCTACAGCGCAAAGCCTAGCATGGACTCATCCAGCACTTCAGGCTTTCTTGGGAATTATTTGGATACATGAGAAATGCTATAGGAGGGAGTGAGCCATGCACAAACTTAGCCAAGCTCAGTCTAGAAAGTTTCCTTCCCTGCCAAGCGAGCCGGATTGCACTTTCCTGGAGCAACGATGACCTCCAGTGGACAGCCGGGTAAATCCCCCGGGAGTTTCCTCTGAGCATCCCTGCTCTTGTCTCTTGCAATTAAGGGCAGTGTCATGAGCTGACCTGCTGTGCTTGGCTCCCCTCCGGCATTAACGGGCCAGCGCTCCTGGGTTAAGCCTGTTGGTCTGTGTCGTGGGCATTAACTTCTCTTGTCTCCTCCTCACTCTTAAGTAACATCCAGCCAAAGCGTTGGGGCTGCTTAGAAGCGGAGACAGGGTTTGGAGCAGGACAGGTCTCAGGGGGCACGAGACTAAGGGGCAGGTGGCAGGAAGGAACTCACTGCAGCTTTAAACTAAAAGGGGGTAGATTTAGACTAGATCTAAGGAAGAAATGTTTTACGCTGAGGGTGGTGAGACACTGGCCCAGGTTGCCCAGAGAGGTGGTGGATGCCCCATCCCTGGCAACATTCCAGGTCAGGCTGGACGGGGCTCTGAGCAGATGAAGTTGAAGATGTCCCTGCCCGCGGCAGGGGGGTTGGACTAGATGACCTTTAGAGGTCCCTTCCAACCCAAACTATTCTATGATTCTATGATCTGCACTGCCAGCCTGGTAGCCAGGTTCAAGTTCAGGGGTTGCAGAGGCAAAGCTCCCTCCAGGCCAGAGCAGAGCTGAGCCGAGTGTTGTGCTGTGCACAGGGCTCAGCCTTCTGGTTGTGGCTGGTGGAGAAGGTCGGTTCAAGTTATACACCTAACCTGGTGGGGGTCGTTCCCTCCCCTCTCATTTCAGCTCCTTGATCTGAAGATATTTGTGGACACGGACTCGGACATCCGCTTGGTGCGTCGCCTGCGCAGGGACATCAGCGAGCGTGGCCGTGACATCGAGGGTGTCATCAAGCAGTACAACAAGTTTGTCAAGCCCGCCTTCGACCAGTACATCCAGCCCACCATGCGGCTGGCCGACATCGTCGTCCCCCGAGGTACCTGCCCAGGGCTGCCCCGAGCTGCCGCGTGGCTCAGTCCTGAGCGGGACCTGAGAGACCCCGTCCCTCAGCTCTGCTGGCCAGTCCCACCGCCCTCCGGCTGGCGAGGACAGAAGAGTGGCTGTCCCATGCCAAAGCAAAGGTTCCTCCAGTTGAGTGTCTCCAAACACTGGCCGAAAGCAGATTCCTAGGGGGAGGTCTGCACTTTTCCCTCAAACAGTCTCCTGCCCTACCAGCTCCTGCAGCTTAGTGATTTAAAAGGTGACTTCTAGATATTCAATAATAGATTACTAAATAAGAATTTAATAATAGCAGGAATGTCTCCTGCTGGATGATGCTTTGCTAGGGAAGGGATGTTTGGGGTACGGTGTATTTTTTTAACATAGTGGGGAGCTTGAGGAAGAAACATGTTTCAGGCACTGCTAGCACTGTGGTCCTGACCAGGCTGTCTCTTGATTTTGGTTCACTCAGGGAGCGGAAACACAGTGGCTATCGACCTGATCGTTCAGCACGTCCACAGCCAGCTGGAAGAGGTAAGAGCTGCCTGGTCCCGCGGGTGTTAATGGTGGGGTTGACCTTGCCTGTGCAGCGGTGGCGTTGCAGGAAGCAGTGCTCTGGGTGCCAAGGTGGGAATGGCCTGGCTTCCCTCCGTGCTCCAGGCGTGTGAGGCGCGGGGCTGTCCCCATGAACTCCTCCCAGCCCTGCTCCCTCCGTTTCAGAGAAGGAGACTGCCTCGTCCCTGTGCTCTGGTTAGCGCAAGGCTCCTCTGCAAGCTGTGGTCCAGCAGCAGCTTCCTTCCCTCCCTGGGAGAGCAAGTCATCTGGGGACAAACCAACCATCCTCCAATGATCTGAGTGACGTGCCCTCACTGCCTGCAGCCCTCCCGGGGCCAGCATCGCCCCAAACCCTGCAATACTTCAGCTCTCTGGCTCTGGCTTCTCCTCTTCACCCCCTTGCAGACACTGCTGCACAGTCTTTCCAGTCAAGAGCCCACTTCTCCACTTCTGTGTTGGGTGCAGCCCATGGGTTTCAAAACCCAAAGTCTTGTCATGTTTTACACCCAGCCTGAGCCCCGATCCAGGCACGTGCTCCATCACTTCCCCATCACTGGCTTTAACAAGTCTTCTTCCGTGTCCCCTGAGCCAGTCCTGACCAGGGGTTTGAGCCTGGGACCCTTCGATCAAATGACGCTGTTGTGTGTTGCCCTTCCCTCAGCAGCGCAGCCTCCTCCCGCCCCATGTTTGTAGCTTTGATGTTTAAGTTGTGGAGACGCTCAGAGCGATGTCCTGGGAGGTGGAAGGAGCGTGACCTGAAGATGGATGCACTTGAAAGTAAAGGGCTCGATTCCTGCAGGCCTTTCTGAGCTCCCAGACGGCCGGAGCCGCTCGGCCCCTGGATGTGAGCTGGCACGCGACAGCATCGTGCCTCCCGTGCCTGCTCAGGAGGGACCGCTCTGATGCAAAGGCGTGATGGAAAGTTCCCCCTCCCAGAGCACCCCGCTCTCCGCAGGGCTGCAGGCGGCAGTCGGGGCTTTCCGACTGCCCGGATTTACAGCACTAAGCTCTGGCAGGTCGGGAAGTTGGTTTCTAAACCCCAGGTCACAGGAGCAAGGATCAGAGCCCTGGCACCGTTGCTAGCAGCAGGCTGAGGAGGGCACGCAGCCGCGGGGCACAGGCCAGGAGGGGGGAAATGGCCGTTTCTCCCAGCCCCTGGGATCTGGCCAGGAAAGCTCACGGCTGGACGCTGCAGCAAGCAAACACAGCAGCTCTTCCCCAGAGCGCCGCTGCGAGCCAGGCGAGGGGTTGGCTTGGGGGGGCTTTCATTTACCTGGGGAGGGGAAGAAGGGGAAAAGGCTACATGTGAATGCAGGAAAATATTCCTATTTTTCCTTTTCTTTTATCTTGAAACGACCCTGGTGTTGACAATGCTTAATACCGGTTGCATTGTGTCTTTGTGTTGCTGCCGCAGCGTGAACTCAGTGTCAGGTAAGAGCCCCTAACTCTGTCCTGTCTGTGCAGCCCGAGGCATTTCCAATGCCAGGCACTGCTTGGCCTAACCCCGACCTGCAGTCGAGACCGACAGCTCGCATAACGCATGGCCTCGTCACGCTCGAAGCTGACGAAAGGCCTCCCTGTCCTTGGCTTTGGGACCAGCAGGGACAGGGCTGTTCCCCAGGGATGTGTTCGTCCTGCGAGGGTACCACCAGCTTGAGCGCAGACCCCTGAAGCTGGGGCAGGGCCAGGTTTGTTAGCTGGGGACCCCCGATCTCTGCAAGATCTGCGTCCTGGGATTCTCTTTTATTTCCCTTCATCCTCTAAGACGAACGGTTGTTCAGAGCCACTCTTCATCCCTGATGATTAATCATTAAACATCAATTATTAAATTAAACAAAGCGGCCTAAGGGTGGTGGGAGCCCTGGATCCCTCGCCGTCACAGAGGCTCTCAGCTGCAAGCCTGACGGCACCTGGGAGGAGCGTAGCAGCTTCGGCGTGGCAAGAGGTACCCGCTGTCCTGCAGTATCTAAAGACTACACAGCAACTCCCTGGGGATTAAGGAAATACTTATACCCTAATCCAGCAGGATTTCTGGTTTCTCAGTATCGGCAGGTGGATGCTATAAAGTGTACATTGATTTACTTAACCTCTTCAGCCTGTGGATCCAGATGGGACTTTAGCTCTCTTGCTTCCGTTAAGCAGCCAGCAAAGTTTCCAGGTATTTTTGTAGGAAGCAGAGGGGATGCATTACTGCAGATGGGTTTCCATTTGGATCTCCATCATCGTATGGAGACACTTAACTCAAGTAACCCTAAAATTTACATTTAGCATACAAAAAGCTCTCAAAATACTTAAGATGAACAGGAAAAGACTCTGCTTTACTCGTTTCTGCTAAGCCATTCATTTCCTGGACTAGGCAACTGGATGTTTTATTTTATTTCTGTTTGCTTGTTTAACACCATGGGGCCTGACGTTTCCATACAGACAGCGTAAGCTCCCCTGTGTCTCTGGAGGGCCAGGTGGGAAGGTGCTCTTTAGCGTGGAGAGAAGTCTGTTGCTTTAAAAAAATGCAGGAATAACATGAGAGAGTAGACCGGTGTGTGTGTGTGTGTATGTATATATGCCCATATGTATGTGTGTATATATACACATGTAAAATTTCCTTTCTCTTCAGGGATTCTCCTCTTTAATCAAAGTGGCGCTCAGTACGGGTGATCTTTTTGTGCACCTTAAAAATCAAGTATTTAATAATATGTCAAGAAAGTACAAAGATAGCAGGTTTGGAAAGGTAACTTTGACCTCCAAAAATAACCGTGATGACCACAGCCACAGACATTTTTATGCTCTGTTTAAGGCGCGTGGTTTCTATTTATGCCTTTGCCAGAAAGTCTGGAAAAAAATTCCGGCAAAAAATCTGTTTACACTCCTGGAGTCCCAGTGCTTTTCTTGCTCCTGCGGTTTCCCATCAGCTCCTCCGTGGCTCTGCGCTCGCAAAAGGAGTGAGGCGGATGGAGAGACGTGTCAAGTGAGATGTGCTTGAGGCGGATGGAGAGACGTGTCAAGTGAGAGCTCGGCAAACGGGGCTTTTCATCTTAAACAATTCCCCATCCTCTTGTCTGGAATGGCTTCATCTAAATGTCACGGTTGTTGTTCTGATGTCACCGCCTTTTGGCAGCCGTGGGGACGCAGCGAGGTCTTTGTCGCTGGTAGAATAAAACCTGGATGCTTAGATCTGGCCCCAGTCCGAGGTACTTCTCTGGTCCTTGTGCTCCAGGCTGGCCCTGGACTGCCTCTCCTGACCCAGAGGCTGGCTGGGCCGGGCAGGGAGTGCCTCTCCCCGACTCTCAGCTGATCAAATGGGTGAGTTCTGAGGAGTTTAAAGAAAGTGGTGCCGTTCCCTGGACCTGCAAGCCTTTTTTCCTTCTGTAACTGCGGGCTGCTGAGGAGCATCGTTGCTTTCCTCTGTATTCCCTCAGAGTGCAGGTCAGACCTTAGCATCCTTGCAGTTGAGATATTTCTTGTCCATCTTCCCACGTGTTTAACCGTGCATGTGCTGGAGGTGTAAGTACGTACAGGCACTCCCAGGTGAGTATTTCTCCTCGAGCCCAGCAGCAGGAGCCGGACCGGCGAGCCCATGCTTGCCGAGGCACAGTGCTCTCAGCCGAGCCTGTTTTCTGTCCCTTCTATTTCAGCAACCAGCCCAGCTCTCGGAGCCATTCAGCTCTTTTCAGCTGAATTCCCCTTGCCAATCAATATTCCCCACCCCCAAGGTCTCGATCAGCTTGGCATGCCCTTTGCCAATTGTGTCTTTAAATATCAACCCATGGCGCAGTTTAATAGCCCTTGTTTGAAATGTCAGCCGTGAAAGCCAGCCGCTGTACGTGTTTGAAATGCCTTGACTGCATTAGCTCCTTTGTAGCTGGATGTCTCTTGTCTGCTTCCTGCTTGATAGCATGCTCAACAAAGAGCTGAGGATGTTCCCTGAAGCCTTCCTGAGAGATGGTCACCCCTTTCTCTCTCTCTTTCTTTCTTTCTTTCTTCTTCTTTTTTTTTTTTTTTTCCATTTAAAGTTTTTTTTTTGGGGGGGGGGAAATAAGTTTCCAAAGTGAGACGTTTTCTTGACGTGCTCATGGCTGCCCGTCTGAATTTTCCGTCGCGGTCCTGCCTGGCAGGGGGAGGGACAGGAAGCATTGCTCTCGCAGGCAGGCTGCCTGCGGGTCGTGGCGGCAGAGATCCGCTCCCTCCGTCCCTCCCGGCAGGCCTGGGCAAGGGGTTTCACCGCAGGTGACACGGCTGTGGCGGGGCGGCTGCCGCTGAGCTCTTCTCTCTGCCTCAACCTGCAGCCCCTCTCCAAGGGATGACGATCCCAGGGCAGGTCCAGGTCAGCGCGGGGGAAGGAAGGTCTTCCCGGCGGGCGGTGATGTTCAGTTCAGAGCCGCGTTTCTCCCCACGTTCTCAGTGCTCTCGGCTTTCCAGGCTCTCCGAGGCTTGAGCAGATCATCTCTCCAGCGTGCCAGGAGATGGGCACCTCTGTGAGCCCACAAGCAGTTTGCATGGGTGCGGGGCAGGTTGAATGAAGGTTTCGCAAGCTTGGCCTTGAGCGCCTGCGCTTGCTCAGGGATTGCAGCAGAGCCCCGGGTGAGGGCTGGGCATTTCCCTCCAGGCTCCGAGAGCTGCGGCTGGTGTTGCAGTACGGTACCACACGGGACAGAGATGTGACAGTGTCCCTGCCGTGACTCCGGGGCGGTGAGAGCGGACAGAGCTTTCTCCCCCATGGAGACAGAAGTGAGCCGGTGCCGTGGAGAGCAGCTGTGACGTGACTTGGTCACCAAGGGAGGAGCGCTGGGGTCTGTACAGCGATGGCCCAGGCACCAGGCAGGTCCAAGAGCCATAGATCAATTAGGGCTTTTTTTTCCCCCCTTTGACTAATGACAGTGCTTTTTCCTTTGTTTCATGTCGTGTTTGTCCCTCTCCCCTTAAACTCTCGTGTTTCCTGTCTTGTCTCTCCTGAACATCCCTCCCACCTGATGACCAGAGGAAGCTGCGCTGGGATATGTGAGGAGACAAACGCTAACGGCAGAGTTTTGGTTGTGACACTAACGCCGGGGAATGGGGGCGAGGGCTGTGCATTGTGAGCCGCGTTACTAACCCGGGCAGACAGCTCACAGTGTCCTGCTTTGCTGGGGCAGTGCAGGGCAAACCGGGGTGGGGGGACTTGAGAGACCATCTTTACCCTGACCCCAAAAATGGGACCTGCCGCAGACCCCCTGGAAAGCGCCGTGGGGACCCCCAGAGCACTGAGCAGCTTCCCTGGGCTGCTGGGGACAGGCGCCCGAGCAGGGTTGCATCCAGACCTCCCCGTCCCCGCACTGAGCACCAGCCCCTGCACGGGTGTGACAGGAAGGTGCGGAAAGCTCGGTGACAAAACGCTGACAGCGTTTCCCCAGGGGCTGTTGACAGCTCGGGGTGCAGGGGAGGTGTTCCCAGGCACGCGGGGCCGCTCTCGGGGGTAGGAGCGCTCGCTGGCATCTGTGGCAGGGAGCAGTAGCCGGGTCACACCACATCTCACCTGCAGCACCACAGAGACCAGGGCAGGAGAGGGGCTGCCCATCCCACTGGCATGGCAGGATGCTGTGATGTGGACCTGGGAGAGGCGCCTGTGGGAAGCTCAGGCGTGTGCCCCTGGGTGGGCCGTGGTGGGTGGGAGGCAGCCCTGTGGGCTACGACCCCTACAGCTCCTCTGGTTTGGGGGACAGAGGTTTGTCACCTTAGCAAACCCAGCTGGGGCCATGAGTTGGTGTGTGGCTCTGTGCTGGGGGGCTGATCTCTGCCCCCCCTAGAAGCAGGCAAGCAGGCAGCCCCTGCGCAGGTACCAGCGTCCGCCAAAGGCAGGGCTCAGGTCCTCAGCCGCCGTGTGGGTCTGCATCCCTGGGGCCAGGAGGGGTTTAGGCAGGGCTGGATGGCAACTGTGCCCCCAGAATCTGTCCCCAGGCCAGGTCTGGCAGGAGGAAGGAAGCGGGGGCTGCCGGGGCAGAGCTGCTGGGTGCTGCCAGCAGCACAGCCCTGGCATGGGAGCATCTCCGAAGGCAGCTGACCCGAGTTGCGGTGACTAACAGAGTGAGCTCGCTTCACTGACGGCAGGTCCGGGGCCTTGAGGGCTGCTTGTCCCAAACAGGCGGTGGGGTCTGCGGGCAGCGGGAGCGCGCTGGGCTTGGCCCCAACCCAGCCGGGCTCTGCCGGCAGCGGGCAAGCCTGCGACGGGAGCACAACCCGTCCCACGCGCTCCGCATGGCTGCGAGCTGTCTGTGCTCTCGGGAGCGTTCCCTGCATAGGGGCTCTTTGCTGCTACACAGGACCTGGCAAAAGCAAGAAGGAGCCCTTAAGTACCCGCAGGCCTTGGGAATGTCTCGTTTGGTGTTGGTCAGCCAAGACCAGGAGATGGCTATGTGGATGGAGGCCTCAAGTCATCTAGCCCTGCCCTCCTCCATTCCTACCCAGTCATCTTCTCTGTCTTCTTCTCCGCTTGTGTGCCTCTGTGTGTGTGTGCAATTAATCCAGGGTTCTGCTTGATTTGAAGTCTTAATCACCTGGTGCTTTCGTTTGTTTGCTCTTTTCTCCTCCTCCCCAACATCTCTCTGACCGGGATGCAGCTGCTGGCACGTTTGTGATCTGATGTGTGGCTTTCGGACCCCAGCCCTCCTCCCAGACAAAGTCGCTTGTCCATTCTGCCCAGCCTTGTGGAAGCCAAACAGATGTGACCTTCATCTCATTACTGCCGCTCTCAAAGAGCGAGGTGACTAATGGGGCTCCATTGTGCGCTTCCCCATGAATGGTGTTCCCTTGATCCAAGAATAGCTCCCATCCCTATTAGTTATGTGGAGATGAGTCACACAAAGCCAGTCCTGTCCAGCCGTAAAGTCTTGAAGCTGTTCCCAATTTGGTGTCGATCCGACTATCCTTGAATGGGCCAGGCGCTCTCTGAAATGGTCTCGTTGCAGCCTGGCTCCACGTTGAGCCGTGTGCCAGCGCCGCGGGCCTGGCTGCCTGTCCCGTTCCTGGTGACATCTGGCACTTGGAGGACAGAGACAACCACAACAGCTCCTCCTCACCCCATGAGTTCAGGGTCCACCACCAGATAAGACTCCCGAGCAGGAGAAGGTTTTGATTTTATTTTCCACTTTCTTCCCAACCAGTGGAAACCAAGATGGGCCAACCACGGGTCAGCTGCCCAGCAAGGAAGGGCAGGTCCTTGGGCTGCGAGGTCTCCCTGGCTCCACCGACCACCCGCTGCCTGCCCCGTTCATGGCAGTAGGTCCCTTTGCCATCGCGGGGGACCAGGCGGGGCTGGCCGCTCGTTCGGCTCGCCCTGGATGCCCTTGGTGTGCGTTTGCAGTGTGAGATGACATCTGGGAGGATGGCTCCGGCCATGTGCTGTGCACCAGCCTTTGGGCAGCCTTGCCCAGAGACCTTCTGACCGTGTGTTTGATTTTCAGGGCCGCCCTGGCCTCTGCCCACCAGTGCCACCCCCTTCCTCAGACCCTCAGTGTGCTGAAGAGCACCCCTCAGGTGAGGGGCATGCACACCATCATCAGGTAAAGCCCCCGCCACCGCGGCCTCCTGGGGCGGGATGGGGCTTGGCTGCCAGCTGGGGCGGGTTCGGCTTGCTTTGGACTCCCGAATCCCACCTGTGCCCCGTCCTTGCGACTTGGGGACATGGGACAGGATAGACGGTGGTGGGCCCTGGGTACAGGAGCTGTGCTGTGAGTGCTCCATGGTCTTGCCAACAATTTTTCTGCCTTTTTTTTACCTTAAAACTGCCACCACAATTCCAGGCTCAGCTGGTGGCCCCCGTGCAAACAAAACGCTGACAGCCAGACAGGGGCAGGGGCTGCCCTCCCCCACGCAGCCTCTGAGCTCTGTCAGCATCTCCCGGGGCACATTTTGGTCCACAGCTTACATTGCCTTTCCCTCCCCTCCAGAAACAAGGAGACCAGCAGAGATGAGTTCATTTTCTACTCCAAGAGGCTGATGCGGTTGCTGATTGAGCATGCGCTCTCCTTGCTCCCTTTCCAGGTGGGTTCAGGGGTGTAGCTGGGAGGATGGGCAGCAGGCGCTGTGTTTCCTTTCCGATTCCTAACCCGTAACTGCCGGGGAGCCGGGACAGTCCTGGCGCTGCTCCTCCAACCTTTCCCGTGTATCAGCCCTTTCCTCCTAGATTAAAAAGGGGCAGGGCTCCCCTAGGCCGTGGAGCAATGGCGTGGCCCTGGGTGACAGCTCTTTGTCCAGCCTCGGTTTCCAAGGGTCCAGACCAGCCCACAGCTGGCTGGCTGCCCGGTACCAGGGCTCCTCCGAGAGCCACGTCAGAGCCCCTGGTAATGCTTCTCGTGTGGTTTTTGTAGAGTTGCACAGTCCAGACCCCTCAGGGACAGGACTACGAAGGGAGGACATACAGCGGGAAGCAAGTAAGTGGAAGCAAAAGGTACTTACTATTCAACCCTGCCCCGTGGGGCTACATGGAAAGCCCTGTGGATGCAGGGGAAGGACACCCCTGGCTTCTCGGGGCTTCCATCAGGCCCGGGTTTGGTGCCCGCTGTCATGAGTATGATGCCCTGTATCATCGGGACAGGTGGCAGGTTGGTGGCCAGGGGTGCCATCAGCAGTGTCACTGTGCCACTGCTGCCCTCCCACTGAGGGAGGCAGCCTGAACTGGGAGCAGCACAACCCTCTTGGAAGGGATGTGCTTTGGGGTTGCCCATTAGAGTCCCCCGCTGTCGAGGCCCAATGCCATACGGGGGTGGCGCGCACCTCCCGCACCGTGCCTGCCTGGTCACCCTCGCTGTGTGCTGCAGATCACCGGGGTGTCTATTCTGCGAGCGGGCGAGACCATGGAGCCAGCGCTGCGAGCGGTGTGCAAGGACGTCCGCATCGGGACCATTCTCATCCAGACCAACTGCAACACGGGCGAGCCGGAGGTAAAACCCAGGACCCTGGGCTGCCGAGGGCATCTCCTGGCGTTAGCCTGCATGCAGGATGTGATTCGGGTATTTCCTGAGAGCTCTTCAGCGATCTGAGAGTTGATCTTGGTGGGGGGGTGAGTGCTCAGAAAGCGAGTGCTTTGAAAGCTTCTCAAGTGAGCTTTGCCAGCATGTTTGTGCACGCAGGGCTGGTTTGCCGTCCAAGTGTTTGCACCAGCACCTGGCTCCAAGCTGACAGCTGGGGTCCCGGGGTGGAGACGCATGAAAGATCCTTCACCCCTTTAAGAGAAGGGCTCAGGTTGCTCCATTCGCCTTGAGCCTGCAGCCTCTAAGCTGATCTCTCTCTCTTCCCCCTGCCCAGCTCCACTATCTGCGGCTGCCGAAGGACATCAGCGAAGACCACGTCATCCTGATGGACTGCACGGTCTCCACGGGCGCAGCAGCCATGATGGCAGTGCGGGTGCTGCTGGTATGGAGGATGTTGGGCACGCTGCAGAGGGCGGGTGGTTCGCCCCCAAATAATGTGCAAAACAGCAGCCGCAGCCACGCTGAGGGTCTTTGCGCTCAAACTGGCTCCTCCTTGCGAAGGAGGCTGTCGTGGGAGCCAGCACAAGCTGGGGTGACTCTGTAACCAGGCGTTGACAAAGTCACCCCTTCCTTGTGCAGTAACAGCCTGGATTTAGTCGGTTTCTTGGTCCTGTGCCCAGTAACTCCAGCTGGCCACGGAGAGGGGAGGAGAGAAAGTGGCTCCTGGGAGGCCCTCCAGTGCTCCGAGTGCCGCTCCCCGGAGGCATGGGCCATAACCTGCCTTAGATGCCTTTACCCCGAGCTGTCTCTGTGCCTTTCCCATAGGATCATGATGTCCCAGAAGACAAGATCTTCCTCCTCTCCCTGCTTATGGCGGAGATGGGTGTCCACTCAGTTGCCTATGCTTTCCCCCGGGTGAAGATCATAACCACGGCTGTGGACAAGAAGGTGAATGACCTTTTCCGGATAATCCCCGGCATCGGTGAGTATCTGGGTAGGAATGACCTATTGCAGGGGGATTTTCGGTGCTTCTGGCCCACTCACCAGAGGAGGTGAAGCCCTGGTTGTAGGCAGCAGCTTAGGTCTGGCCTTCTTTTACCCGGGGACCCGCTGCCTTTTCTGGGTCCTGCTGCCACGTGGGTGTTGGGATCAACATGCACGCTCTGAGAGCTGTCAGGCAGCCATAACCTTGTTGGCAGAAGGAGCCATTCCACGTGCCGCGAGCCTCCTCCGGCCCCAGGTGGAGAAGCTGGGCCGGGACAGCTGGAGCAGACCTGTGCCCACCTCATTCCCTAAGCTGTCACCTTAAACAAGCTCATCCAAGACAAGCTCACTCTGTTCTTCTGTCCTCGCCCCTGCTGTGCCAGGAAACACCCCTGCCACGGGGTGCTAAAACAGCCTCCAGGCTGCTCCAGTTTTGCTGCTACGCGAGTTTTAGAGCTGTTCAAGCTGTTGGATAAACTTGCTTTTGTTCCCTCGCCTGCTGGGACGAGGGCAGGCTGGAGGACGGGTCCCGGGGCTCCCTGCAGAGCTGCACCCGCGACTGCGTCTCTCTCTTTCTCCCCGCAGGGAACTTTGGCGATCGGTACTTCGGGACGGACGCTCCTCCCGACTGGAGCGACGATGAAGATGCTCTTAGCACTTAGCTGGATGTGGAGATGCCACTGGCGCCAGGCAGCTTCAGCACCGCACCTTAACCCCTCTGTCCATTGCAGATTTCTCCTTCCTCCTCACCAAGCATAGATATTTTTTTCAAATCTTACATTGGAGATCTAGGGCATATTTTTTCAAAGAAACACAAATCCTAGTTTGACTTTGTGGACAGTCGTGTGTCCCAGCGTAGAGCGGAGCTAATTTATTTTAACTTAAATATTTGCCTATATAACTTATTGGAGATATTTTATAAAGAAAAATAATAAATTTTTTCTCTGTTTTTCTTGAATGGATCCATTCTTTGTCACAGCCCAGGGGTGCCCAGAAGGATTCGCAGCCCTTCGGGACTGCTGCCCCGGGAGGGGAGATGCCGCGAGCAGCGGTGGGAGGTAGAGACCCTGCTGTTGAGGAGCAGGCTGACCCCGCAGCCGTGGGGCGGTTCTTAGGGCTCTGTCTTTATGCTGGTTACAGGCAGCTGGTGGTTGTTTCTCTTCAGTGAACGCTGAAGCTCTTACGCCCCAGGGAGAGCCTGCCCTACAGAATGCGCTCGCTCTGTCTGATGCTACCGAGGCAGGGAGGGAGCCTTCACCTCATGAGAGCTGGTGGGGACAGAGAGCACCCTGCGGCTTCTCTGCAAGGATAGCGTAACCCCCCTCAAACCAAGGTCTCCTGTGACCCCGCAGCCGTGGGGCGGTTCTTAGTGCTCTGTCTTTGTGCTGGTTACAGGCAGCTGGTGGTTGTTTCTCTTCAGTGAACGCTGAAGCTCTTACGCCCCAGGGAGAGCCTGCCCTACAGAATGCGCTCGCTCTGTCTGATGCTACCGAGGCAGGGAGGGAGCCTTCACCTCATGAGAGCTGGTGGGGACAGAGAGCACCCTGCGGCTTCTCTGCAAGGATAGCGTAACCCCCCTCAAACCAAGGTCTCCTGCCTGCAGCAGGGCTGTGAGCAGGAGAAAAAAACACCACTCCCATTCCCCGGCTCCCACCTCTTGCTGCTGTGCGCTGGGGAGGAACTACCGTGCTCTAGATCCAAGTGAAGGGTTGGTACCGGAGGAGAGGCAGTTCTTCATATCTGCATGGAAGCTGAAGTTCAGCTCGGATCACATCACGCTTCAGCTTAAGAAGCACCAAGCCCCTGTTTCAGTTCAGCAGCCGAAGTGAAACACAGCTCACCCAAACACCAGCTTGCTCTTGCTGAATCAAAGCTGCTCAAGATGTGGTGAGGAGCAGGTCTTGTAACGGTCTCCAGGAAGCTGTTAGCAGGCCAGAGTAACCTCAGCAGAAGGGGAGCCAGCCAGCCCCATGAGGTGGATTTAGTCACAGGAGGCTGTGACCCCTGTGGCTGAACACAGAGTATTATTTTCCTTTCCTGCATGATTCAAAGTACCAGTGCAACATCCTTGTGCTGGAGATAAATGGGCCAAGAGGAGCAAACCTACCCCTTGGCTGGGCGTCCCTGGCTCGGTGCCGGCTCCTGAGGGGTTAGGCAAGGCAGGCAGGCGCTGCCGGCAGCAAGGAGAGCGGGGCCGGGAGGGGGATGTTCTGCCAGGCCCTTGCCGAAATGGAGAGTCGCTTGGTGATAACTCGGTGTGGGCTCAGGTGTGATGAGCCCGAAATAACTGCCACTGCTCTGCAGCATGTTGTATAAATTCTCAACTAGATTTAAAAGAAAACACACACCCGAGTTCTTGCAAGCACTCGGCGAAAGCATGAGCCCTCGGCTTGAAAGCCACGCTCAGAGCCAGCACTGACACTCGATTAGTGTCTGCTAAAAATAGCTCCTTGCGTAGGTGGAAGGAGAGCTCATGAGCACAAACACAGGAGGATAGGCAGACACAGGGTTTTTTGGCTGGGGCACCAGGTGAGCAGCGGTGGGACAAGGGACGGCAGCATCACCAGGCCCATGGAGAAGCATGTCTGCACCCGGAGTCCTTCCTTTGGGCTGCAGCCGCCAGCATAGGAGGTCAGTGCTGGAGGAGCCCGGTGTCTTCTTTGTAAACCATGCTCAACCCCATGAATGAACGCAGCCATCATCCTTCATGCGTAAAGCTCCAGCAGACCTTGTCTGAGCAGTGCCGTTGGCCTCCTTGAGGGCAACAAGACCATGTGTGGGTCTTGAGCAGGGTTTGCCCCCAGGGTCCACCACAGGGGTGAAGATCCCACAACACTTCCTTGGGGAAGGGAGGGGGGGGGCAAAGCACCTCTTCTCCCCTAGCATCCTTCATCCCAATCCACACACCCAACCTTCTTGAAACATCATGGATGCAGCTTCTCCGTGCCCCTGATAACAGCCCTTGATGGGCAACATGTAGGAAGTGGCCCAGGGAGGCGTGTGGATGGAGAAGAACTGGGCGCAATGGGGCTGTGACCCACCATGTAGAGCATCAGAGGGTGTCCTGCACCCATGGTCCATCCCATGGCCCCAGTGAGCCTGTGATGGGCATAGACAGCAGCTGTAGGATATGTAGCCATGAGAGGGGAAGACAAAAATTGGGGTGTGAAGGGTGTGGGGGGGAGGAGGCATCACCAGAGCCTCAGACCGCCACGTCTTGTTTTGCAGCACTTCCAGGCTGCTGAATGCCACCCACGCACCCAGGCAGTCCCCAGCACCCATGGCCGGTGGCTGGCACACCCATGATGGCACAGCAGAATGTGGCATGGCCCCCCTTGCCACTGCATTAAGGTCCAAGTGACCCCCACACTGTCCCATGGGCATGGCCACAGGGACCACACAGCCCAAAGGTCTCCAGCACCTAAGGCGCTCCCAGCGTGGAGGAAGGTCCTGGAGATCTTTGCATCCAAGGTGATTCTTGCTTTTCACCCAGTATTTTCCTCAGAACATCTGCATTTTTCCTCAGCAGGTCCACATTTTTCCTCAGATCCACATTTTTCCTCAGCAGATCTGCATCTTTTCCCAGTAGATCCCTATTTTGCCTCAGAAGATCTGCACTTTCCCTCAGCAGATCCACATTTTTCCTCAGCAGGTCCATGGTTTTCCTCAGATCTGCATTTTTTCCTCAGCAGATGTGCATTTTTCCTTAGATCCCTATTTTGCCTCAGAAGATCTGCACTTTCCCTCAGTAGATCCACATTTTCCCTCAGTAGATCCACATTTTCCCTCAGTAGATCCACATTTTCCCTCAGTAGATCCACATTTTCCCTCAGTAGATCCACATTTTCCCTCAGTAGATCCACATTTTCCCTCAGCAGATCCACATTTTCCCTCAGCACATCCACATTTCACCCTGGCAAACCCAGGTTTTGCCACCACGCAACCGTATTTTACCTCAGCAAACCAGCCGTGCGCCCACACCAACACTTCCCCCAGGGCAGGCTGCTCCCGCCACTTGAAAACATGGCGCCTTCCCCTCCCCTCCTTCTCTGCGCCCTGCTTGAGGTGGCAATGGCAAATTTAGCAGCAAACACTGCGGCTGGTGGCCTCGACCCCAGGCGGCCTCGTCACCGTCGCCATTGCCCTCGTCCCCGGGCCACGGCGCCATCTTGGATCCCCTCAGCCTCCCGTGGCCACGCTCCAGAGAGTCCACCAGGCCCCTCTCCCCCACCCCGCCATTACCAGCGCTACAAGATTGAATTTCTTTTGTTTGCGACAAACTGCTGGCAGCAAACACGCCACGTCGGAAACATTGCGTGGGAGGCGGGCGGCTCCCCTCCCCTCCTCTGCCTCTCTGCCCTCCCGGCCAGGAGGCATGCGTGCTCCCAAGCGCCGGCCATGCTGGCCGCTCACAGGCTGGGGCGGTGAGAGTGAGAACAAAAAAAACACTCTTTTTTGCCAAGATATCAATCTAAGGCTTTCTTAGGCAGCCCCGGCCATGAGGCTGCATCACAGCGGGGCGACCGGTGCTGCCCGCACCACTGCTGCAGCCCTCGGCAGTGCCGCTCTCCTCACCAGCCCAAAAAGCACCACGGGGGGTCATGCCGGTTTTTTTTAAGTGGAAAAAAGAGCAAATGTGGTGGTTTGTTGAGCCGTGGCACGGTGCCCGGCTGA